CACATAGTTTATATTCCACCTCCGTTCTCATACTGAAAGTCCTAGGGCTCTCCATCTCTAGCTCTTCCTATTTCTTTCCTTCGATTCCCTTTTTCACAACTAATGTTCCTTTCATTTTGTGAGATTTTTTGAGCTCATGTTGATTGATATTCATCTGTGGAAGTTATGAGTTTCCTGTGCCTGGAATCCTCTCCTCCTGAGTTGAAACTGAAGAGGTTTTCCAGCTCTTTGCATGGGAATCTCCTGTCCACGTGTCCCTTTGCTGTTACCCACTGTAATGCTGATGATCACTATGTGCTCTTAGAACAGACCTACTCTTTGCATTTACTTGCCACCCACTTTTTCCTGCTCTAGTTTTTCACTCACCTTTTCTTTAATACTTACATTTCAAAAATGAATTGTGAGCTTCAGGAAAAACCTTCTCCTTACTTATTAAGAAATGAAACTGGCCACCGTGAGCCTCCTTTGTCACAATGAAAACTAAGTTCAGTCACCCCTCTTGTAAGCTGTTATGATTGATCAAAGGAGGCCATTTTATTTGATGTATGTGGTTTTGCAGTCATAGGTCAGCAAAAAACAATTCAGCCTATCTGAAGATAAGGTTCAAAGACAGTTGTGGGCTGGTGTCAATACCAATACAGTAACGCTAATCAAAGTCTCTACCCCGCTGGCAGAGGCAGCATGAACTGGTCCACCTTGGTGAACTCGAACAGAGTGGGGAAGAAAGAGAGGGTGGGGAAAGGGGCAGATGGGCATTGGGATGAGCTATTCGGAAGGGGAGATGTGCTTCAATGGAACATGGCCCCAGACCCGTCTGATGTTCTCGCCTGATTTTGCTTTTAGTGTTTGTATGAAGTGCACATCAATGGACCTAAATGTTGCTGTCTTTCAAGGCAAAAGCACCTGACACATTTTCCTTCGTGTTTCAAGCATCAGTAGCACTGACATCCCTCCTGAGCTGAGGCCCCTCAACAGACCGCTCTTTACTACGCACACCGTCAAGATTGTCATTGCCCGCACACCTCCTCCTCCCTCTCCCCAGCCCACCTGGAAAAGCCACAGTGGGCCCAACAGCTCTCCGTGAGGACTGTGCACTCCATGCAATGTGGCCTTGTCTCTGTCTCTGTACAGCCACAGTGACGTTTTCCCCATGCACATGGCCAACCCCAGGCAGCCCCTGGCTCTGATGCCCTGCCTAGTAATGCTCCACTCTGCCAGGGAAGGAGGACGAGAACCTCTACTTGGCTGGTGTGTGCCTCGTTCCTCTCTTCTGTCAGCAGCAGACTGGGCAATGTCTCAGGGGCCTTAGGGAGCCTGTTGGACAAATGCCCCAGCACCTCCCCGTCCTCATAGCCGCACCTGTGCCCAGTACCACCGCTGTGCATCCTCTCCCCTGGGAGGGCACAAGGTGGTAGAGAAGAGGATCAGCCCTGCTTCCTGTCTCACCTCTGCAAGGGACCTGGTGCCTGAGGCTGCCTACCCAGAGGGGCCTAGGCCATAAAAGGCTTGTCTTTAGGCCAAACTTCTTAACATAATCTTGATGTCAAGCCCTGGAAATCCCAGGCTTTGTAACAGCAGACGACAAATTTGTGAGCACACTTCTTCCAAGGGAATCATTCGGGAAAAAAATATTCAAAAATAGTCAAGGGCTTCAGTGACCACCCCAGGCAAATCAAACCCCACAGAAAACACAAAGACTTACCTTGACTCTGACTCTTTCCATAGACCTGGTGCGTGTGTGTGTGTGTGTGTGTGTGTGTGTGTGTGTGTGTGTCTCCATTAAGGACAGCTTTCTCTGTAGCAGCAGGGGACCAGGAAGAGCAGTCAGGAGGCAGCTTCTAAACCAGCTTTACACATATGTTAAATTAAAAATAGCCCAGCCCAGGATCTGCCTGCAGCCAGCAGACCTCCCTGTTGCTGGCCGTTACTGTGGCTGTCTGTGCCACCTACAGATGCCAGGCCTGTGGGTTTCCCTTCTGTGCCCTCACTTCCTGCCAGCTGCCTGGGCACTGCTCAGGCTGCATGTCCATGGCACTAGCCGCACCTGCCAGTTACCTTTCTTGGGGAGCATGTACGGGCAGCCAGATGGGCAGAGGGAATTGTGGGCAGCACCCATTCCATAAGTGAGTCTCAGGGATGTGCAGCCTTTGTAGGAGTTGTCTGTCCAAGATCAAGAGATGGTCTCCCTTTTCTCCTCTCTTAGAGCCCTCTGTACAGTGCTTACTGTGAACTGTAAAACCCATAAGATGCAGAAGTGTCTAGATACAGCTGAATGATTACTCATCCAGGGAGTGTCACTGAGTCAAGAAGCAAAATACTGTACAGCCCAAGCTGCTCCAGACACTGCCCCACCCTATACCCATCCTTCCAGGAGAGGCCACTTCTGGACTTGTGTGCTCATTGTGCCCTGGCATGTTTTGGTTTTTGTTCTGTTTTTGTGTTCTGTTTTACCACATAGTTGTACATCTCCAAACTCAATCATTTGTTTTTGCCCATTTTGGGACTTTGTGTATGTAGGATCCGGAATATGTTTTCTGCCTGTGAGATTGTGTAATTGTCATTGTTTTCATTTTGTAGCTTTAGTGTATTCTGTTCTATGAGTAAATTTATTGTATGATTCATTTATTTATTCTATAGTCAATGAACATTTAGGTTGCATGTGGTTTTTGATAAGCACAGATAAAACTACTAAAAACATCTCAGCACACATTCTGGGGCATACAGTGCACAGTTTTTAATACCTGGAGGTGGAGTTGTTGACACACGAGGCCATCCCAAACTGTCTTGGAATGTGGTTGCATCAATAGATGCTCCCACCAGCAGCATGTGAGGGCTCCTGTCGGTTACCATTCTCAGCAGCACTTAGAATTCTAAGTGTTTTAGATTTTTGCCAATGTGAACAGTGTCACAGTATTATCACTGTGGTCTTAACTTGCCTTCGCCACATCTCTGAGGTTAATTACACCATCTTCCTGGGCAATCTGTGATTCTCCCTGTTAATTTTTGATTATTGTTGACATTTATTTACTCACTTATTTAAGAACCAGGATCTTACTATGTTGACCAGGCTGGTCTTGAACTCCTAGGCTCAAGTGATCCCTCTACATCAGCTTCCCAACTAGCTGGAACTACAGGTATGCACTGCCAGTCCCAGATTCCATGTCAGTTTTAATAAGAAAAAAATCAGTTGTGGTTTATGGCAAGGCAGATTGGTACGTAATGGACATAGATTTAGAGAACAGAGTTCACATCCCATTTATTACCTCCATGACCTTGAAGTCTTAGATGTGAAGGACTCTAAATAAAGAAAAATGACATTTTGTTGGGGCCTCTGATCGTCCTTCTTCCAATTTATAGGTGCATGCATAAATTCTTGACAATGTGTTATTTATGTAGTTCTTTATGCACCCAAAGTATTCTATGGTCATTGGTGTTTATAAGATAAATAAAATAAGCATAGATAACCCATATTATAAATAGCTTCCCCATAAAATAGATTCAGTTCTCTATTCACATAAAAATATGTTTTATTGTGTGGTCTGGATTTTTTCTGGTTTACTGGTAACCAGCTATGGCTGTCACTAGCCATGTGACCATGACGACGGAGTTCACACTTGGGGATGATGGTGACTCAGGTGGTTGGGGAGGACGTGCTGTTTTCACAGTGGGGAAGTTTCAGTGTGGCCACCTGCCAGGAGGGTCTTGCACCCTGGCTAGCTGCTCTGAGCAGTGGGGTGTGCAGGGAATCCAGCCACTATGCCTGCCCAAGCACCACTTGAATAGAAACTCGTTCCAGCCTCCCACGCCACAGTTCAGCTTTCCCATCTTGGGTGAGCTTTGTGAGATGAGTCTACACTGCAGGGGAAAGGGAAGTGTGGCTACGTCCGGTACCAAAGCCTGTCTCATTCTTGTTTGCCCATAGCTGTGACCCCTAGGGACCCAGCAGAGGCAGCAGAAATTCCCCTAGTGTACAGAAGTTGGGGCATCTGGGGCACAGTTGAGCTCTTTCCAAGAAGGGAGTTTGGGAGTGTTGCTTAATGCTCCAGGACTTCAGCTTCCTCATTTCTGCAAATGCTGGGGCTGGAGAGTCTTCCTCGTGACTCACCCTTTCTCCAGCCCCATGAGCTGAAGGGCTGGTGATGGATGATGGAGATTCACGTCCACTTCGAGCCTTTCAGCCCCAGTGGGACTGCCTCCTCCCCAGACCCTGCAGATCTTCCCAGCAGCCCTCTTACCTCCCACAGTCAGGAGTGCCCCTCACAGGCATCACAGGGGGTGTGCTCCTCTACCTGTCACCCACTTCTGAGTCTCAGTTCACCAGGCTGTGGGGAAGGGGTAGCACTGAGGGTCACCTGAGATGACAGTGATGAGCAAGCCTCCAGGGGCATCAGCACAGTACAGCCCCGTGCTGTCTCCTCGCCTCTTAGTGATGACGTTTTCTTCTTGGGGACTTTACCTGACAGTGTCAGGAACATGTTAGATCCTGACCCTGCTCCTATGGTGGAGACAGGGGAAGGAAATAAAGAGGGCCCTGGGGAGCAGAAGCTTACACATCCCTTCATCTGCGCTCCAGAAGGGTCCTGATTCATATACGCCCCAGTCACCCCAACCATCCCCCAGGGATACAACACAGCTGGTGGATCTGACCCAGACCCAGACCCAGACCCAGACCCAGACCCAGACTCAGATGATGACACCACTGGGCTCCACTGCGCCACTTGCCCTGAACCACCTGCAGCCCGCTGAGCCCCAGGCTCCCTGCTTCCCCTTCAGTCCTGTTGAGCTTTAACCATGGTCTGTCCCCAGCCTATTAGCACTTCCTGTTTCGAACTTGCTGGTCTTGACCTTTCCTGAGACCTCGAAGGTAGACACTACCCACAGGCTGCCTCCCCAGCCAAGGGGTCCGAGGGCATCTGCTGAAACCTCAGGCAAGGCCTCCTGCTAAAGCCTTGCTAGGGACCGGTCCCTGTAGGGTGATGTCTGTGTGTCCTCTCTTCCAGGATCAGGGCCAGAGACAACAATGGCTCCTACGCTCTCTGCCTGCTGCATGAAGGGAAGGTGTTGCATTACCGCATTGACAAAGACAAGACAGGGAAGCTCTCCATCCCTGAGGGGAAGAAGTTTGACACACTTTGGCAGGTACATGTCATCTTCCTCTCCCTCCTCTCAGGCACAGCATGGGGCCCACAGAGCTGCCTGTTCCGTAGGCTCTTAGAAGTTTGTGGAGGCTAGGCATAGGGGTGCACACCTGTATCCCAGCACTCTGGGAGGCTGAGGCAGTATGATCACTAGTTTGGCCCCAGCCTGGGCAACTTAGTGACTTAACAACCTATCTCAAAATAAAAGAGGGCTGGGGATGCAGCTCAGTGTGAAGGTTCTGGGTTTAATGGCTAACACTGCAATCAATCCTCAATCAACTAATCCATAAAAGGAGAAGAAAGAAAAGAAGAAGAAGGAAGAAGAGCAGTCTGCAATGTAGCTCCCAGCACAGCAGCAGCCGTGGAGCTTGTGAGAGGTGCACAGAGCCCCCTGGGGCTGCTTCCCAGCCTCCAGGTGACTTGCATGTTTGAGATGTGTGAGCAGAGGGGCCAGAATGGCAGGGGAAGAGATTCTCTGTCCAGGAGGTCCCATCACTTGGCCAGGGCCTTTTAGTTCTCAGTGCCACAGCTGATGTCTGTGCAGGCCTGTGTTCTGAGTTCTGCAGAAAGTGCCACTTTGGGGGACTGGAAAATGTTCTTTTCTAGGATATTCTAACTAAAGCCCAGAACAATATTTCAGTCAAACACAAAAACAAAGGGATGGGTGGCCTGGAAAGGAGCTTTGGGGACCGTGACTCAGATGCTCTTGGGGCTGTGAGATGGCTCGTTGTATGCTGAGGGGCCACCCTCATTGCAGACCGGCCTCCCTGCAGAAGCTGAAGCAGCTTAGGAGGTGTGGCAGCACTTCCCAGGCTCAGGCTGCCACTTGTACACAGCTGTCACCACCCTGCTCTAGAAAGGCTCACTCTGGGCCCGGCTGTTCATAAGCCCTGAAGCAGCTTGCTGTTGGGGGTTACTTGGGCATTCAAGAGCCCCAGAGCATGATCATCCTGCTCTTTATCCATGTGTAGTGAGCACACATTGCGTTTCTTTCTTTCTTTCTTTCCTTCTTTCTTTCTTTCTTTCTTCTTTCCTTCCTTCCTTTCTTTCTTTCTTTTGTACTGGGGCTTGAACTTGGAACCTTGTGCTTGCGAGGCAGGTGTGGCACCACTGAGCTAAATCCCCAGCCCGCTTTTCTTCATTTCACATCATGGCTACGGTAGCACAGTGAAGGAAATGAAGTTATGGTAGTTTATGCCCCATTTTAGTAGAGCGTTTAGGACCTGTGGTTGGTCCAGAGACAGGGGTAATCACCAGACTCTGCCACCCTAAAGACTGCCGCCACCTGGATCTCTTGTGGATGAAGGGTATATTCAGGATCAAGGGCAGGTTCAGGTGTTCCCAGCCGGACCCAGCCAGGAGCTACTCATGCGGCCACCGTGGGTGAAAGAGCATGAACCTGTGAGTCCTTTACAGCACTCATGGCAAGTCCCCAGTGTGATTCCATTCTTGATGCTCTAATTGAGAAAAAATATTTCATTTTTGAATGCTGGATATTGTAATATTCAAAGATGTCAGTCATAACTCACATGCTGTCTTTTATTTTTGGGCTCATTAGCACATGTCTCATTGTTGACCACAGGCTTGGCTTTATTTTAATGGCACTGATTTGATAGAGTATTTAACCTGGTGAGTACTGGGGGCTCAAAGCACTCAGAAGGGTGAGACAGAGTGTCACCACCTGGTACTGATTTCCCAGTATAGTCTTTAGCCTTCTGCAAGAATCATCAATGGTGTGCATAAAGGTGCTAGGAGTGTAGCTCAGTGGTAGAGCACTGTGCCTAATGTGCACAGGCCCTGGGTTCCATCCCCAGCATAGCAAAAAGTAATAATAATAAAAAATTTAAAATAAGTAAAGGCACCTAGAGCCTCATATGCCAGACTAACACCAGGGTTCCAGCCTCTCACTTACAATTACCTGTTTCATGCAACTTCTCCTAAATGACTGCTTTGTGTGTGTGGTTCTCACCGTTCAAAGGTTGTGAGTACATCGCTTGGTCGAGCATTTCTAATTGCTGAAAAGTTTCTTCCTAAAACCTTGTCCTATTTTTGTGTCTTCCTCTGCTGTATCATCATATCTGGCCTAATTAAGTATATATGTCTCAAGTGTTTTCTAGATGGTGATACCTTCCATCTTTTACGTGCATGATTACATTCGGTTTTTTTGACAGCACAGTAAGGTATCTCTAAGACCTAGCCCAATTCCAGAGCTGTTTTCTGAGAGTTAGTAATCGCTACACTACTCTATTTTTGTTCTTTACTTTAGCTCAGGAATTTGAAAACCCTTAGGTCAAATCTGGTTTGGAGCGCAAATGCAGTCCTTGAAAAGAGTGGTTCATGTGCGTTTAAAGAGTTGTTTTGAATGAACGAATGAATGAATGAATGACTGAATGACTAGGTAACAGAGATGTTGTATGGTCCCCAAGCCTAAAATATTCCTTCTGGACATTTATACAAATGTTTACCAGCCACTGCCCAAGGACACCTGTAGCTGTGTTCCAATTTCCCCAGCCACCTTGGGCAGTGGATCATCTGGAAACATCAGATTCAAGTTTCCTTAGGTCGCTTTAATGCCCAACAAATCGTCTGCATCTCTCGGTCACTATTTCCCCATTCTTGCCCCAGTATTTAACACACTTTATTCTTTTTCAGCTAGTGGAGCATTACTCTTACAAGCCAGATGGTTTGTTAAGAGTTCTTACAGTTCCATGTCAAAAAATTGGCGCACAGGCAGGTGAGTTATGAAGGCATCTGAGTGTCGGTTTTTTGGATATCAGTCACAGACAGCCTTGTTTCAGATTTGGTGCATTCCAAAGTCAGGTTGGATGAGACCTTGTCAGATGAGACAGAAAGATTAAACAGGTTGTAAGAGCATTCCAATTTTAGGGATCATGGATCAAAAACTAGTCAGTCACTTGAAAAACTAATTCATGGATGAAAAAGCGACTGAAGAGGTTGGAAAGAAAGTGACGTAGGGAGTTTGTAATCTCCTCAAGCAGCAATGCTATACTCACACTCATTGCTCTGCGGTGGAGAAGGGGCTAAGTACGCGGTGTTTGCTGAGAGAGTGTAATTGTTCAGACCCTTTCTAATCAGGAAATATTACTTTTGCAGCCCACCCACAAAGTTCCAGTCTTGCGGTAAGTATCATCAGAAATACCACTGGAGCTGGAGTAGTTAGGAATTAGCACAAATTCAAAGCAGGTTACAGCTAACAAGATAGCGATCTCCATTTTGATGGCACTTGAGAATATCCCCTTGATCAACTGGGAATTCTAGTGAGATTGGGTAAAATCAGCCTGTTAACACTAAGCTAGCCAAGTATTCTTAATTCCTTGGCTACACTAAATACCTCCCATTTTCTGAAAGTGTTAGAAATGAGGAGGGAACCCAATGCTAAATTAGGAACAGGCCTCCGTCTGGATCTGGGAAATGAGAGCATGTCCTTAAATTCAGCCTCACAGACTGTTCATACGTTCAGCCATGCGTATGTTAACACTGGTGCATCAGCCCCAGGGCCTCCTGTTCGGTCCATCACAAGCTGAGTAGATAAGATGTCTCCTTGAGGTTGTCTGACCAACTCCTGGCCATGTCAGCTGTTGGATCATTGCCAAGGGACTTGACTTTTCTGGGTGAATTGGGTTGACTAAAACAGGTGTGGGGATTCTTGGAGAGGTCCTATACAAGAGGAAGCCCCAAAGAAGGATGGAGTTGGGAGGCTTGGCCAGAGCCCACATCCCACTGTGCATCGGGAGAAAGTGAGAATGTGCCTACATACTTCTCCATGTGGGTGAAAAAGAAACCTCCCTTCTCTCTCCCGACTATTAGGAGGTGACATATAGATTTATAGTCAAGGCAGGAATTAGTTTCCTCATCCTTTGGTAGACTTCACTGTAGATTTTCCATGTCCTTTAATGCCATCTGGGAAATGGGCCTGCTGTATCTGCTAATCCCTGAAGAACAACATCCACAAAAAGCCAGATATATATTCTACCTCCAGGTAGAATTGAGTTTGAGGATTGATCTTGACCCCATGTTGAAACCAGAGAGGCCACTCAGGGACAAGACTAGTTATCAGAATGAGAGACCTTGACATTGCTTAAAAACAAAACACTAGGGAACTTTAGGATATTAAATCCCAGTTCCCTTGTGGAGTCCTCAACTTCTTTGACTCTTTATGCCACTCATGGGCCAGAGCCTCTTCTTTAACATCATATATTCCTTTAGAGAGGTTCATTTCCCTTTATATGGGCTTAGGGCCGAGAACTCTTAAAACACGAGGGAAACTCTACATTTAGCTGTAATACCCAATGGCTTCCAAGTTAGATATTTGGAATAACTTTTTATTGACTGGTAAAATGCGTACAAAAAAAGATGCAGCTGGGCATGGTGGAGCACACCTGTAGTTCCAGCATTTGGGAGGCTGAGGCAGGAGGTTTCCCATGAGTTCAAGGGCAGCCTGAACTACATACCAAGACCCTGTCTCAAAAAAAAAAGAAAAGTAGATTCCCTAAGTGTGCAGCTTGATGATTCTCCATCAACCCAGGGGAACCAGCACTTGCCCTGGTGAAGTAATGACACTCAATAGCAGACCTACTTCAGGTTTTTTAGGGTGGTCTGTCTGAAGCTCATGACAGTTATTGCCCATGGGAAGCATGGGCTACTGATGTCAGATCTATTTTGTAGCCTTCAGAGGAAAATACTTCCCAAATACTTTTCTGGATTCTTCTGATGGTAGGCCCTTCTAGAAGGCTTTAGATAATTGAGAGTTGCACATAGAAATCTCATTGGCAGGGTGAGGAGGGGCTCAGCAGTGTGATTACAGAAGCAAAGCTCAATAGCATGTCACATAAGCTGTCCTGGGTTTGCTTCCTGAAACTGAATTGACTGTTCCTCTTTGCCATTATGATTTCTAGACTTGGTCAGCAGGTGGAATAATCTCCAGACTCAAATCATACTCCTTCCCAAAGCCTGGCCACAGAAAGGTGCTAAAGCATCCCCTGCTTGCTGTCCCTGACTAAGTGGTAGGACTGATCTGCACGCGCCCCGTGCTTGCTGGCCCCGCTGCCCCCGCACCCTGTACTCTGCCGCCTGTCTCTTTGCTGTGTGCAGGCCTGGTTTGCACCTCCACTCTGGGCACCACACCTTGTGCCCATGTGCATCTGTGCTTTCCTGTAGGTCCTCAGTCTGCTTGTCAGCCCAGCAATGTCCAGCAACACCTGCCTGCTCTGTCTGCTAAAGTGTAGCTTTGAAATCATTTCAGTGAGTAGGATAAGTGGCAGCTAAGTCTCAGGTCAGACAATCTTTTCAAAGACAGCCAATTTACCATTTGTTTTGAGGTACTGAGAATTGAACCAAGAACCTTTGCACTGAGCTATCCCCAGCCATTTTTACTTTTCATTTTGTCACTAAGTCGCTAAGTTGCCCGGGCTGGGCTCAGACTTGTGATCCTCCTGCCTCAGTGTCCCTAGTGCTGGGATTATAGGTGTGTGCCACCATGCCCAGCTGCAAATTTACTTTTGATTTGCCAGAACTACATGTCACAACATTATGGTAATGGGTTATATAAGCTACATTATGAGGGAGGGGAGCCCAAGGATTTGTGAGATACTGTATACTGCCCAATGAGGACGTCAGGCTTTGATTTTGTAGATATTAAGAGCTATAACCTTTCATAACTGCCATGAGATGTAGAGAATTAGAATTCATTATTTTAGCTCATTAGAATTGAATTATGTTAGATAATGAATTAGAATTGTGATGCATATTAATTCGTTGTCTACCGTTCATTCAATTCCTTCAATATTGTTAAATTTCTAACATAGAACCTTAACATACAGAGATGACTGCAGAATTTTTCATACCAGGACTAGATTGCTAATTGAGTCAATAATGATAGCTCAGGTTAACCAAGTTGACATATTAAAAGAAAACATCACCACCAGAAACCGGTAAAACAGTCTGAGAAGGCAAATGCCTATCTTGCCTTTTGTCATTTTCAAAGCAGGCTTAAGCAGTGCAGGTCACTCACAGTAACTAAAAAAGTACCTAGAAAATCAGAGTTAATGGGACTTTAGACAACAGGAGAACATGTCTAAAGGAAGTTGAAGAATCAGTAAGTTCGATTACATAAAATAAATACTAACACAGTAAAAATATATCATAAAAAATAAGAAAATGGGAATAAATATTAGTAATGATCACTGTGTATGATTAATTGTCCTAATATATAAAGATACTATAAATCAATAAGAAAATATCATCTAACAGGATAAAGGGCAGAAAATGTCAGTAGATAATTTAGAGTAAACCAAATATAAATAGCTCTTAGACATATGAAAAATTGTTGAACTTAATAAGAGATATACAACTATGATGCTCAACTTTGTCTGCCTGTGAAACTAATCTAAATATAAATACTTAGTCACACACCATGTCACAAGGGTATGGTAAATAAACATTTCTGCACGTTAGTGGAGCAATGTGAAATAATAGTCTCTCAGCGGGGCAATTTTGCAACATCTATCAAAATTAAAAGTACATAAAACTCAGCTCTGTAATTCCATTTTTGAATATTCATCATAAGATATCTTTCATTTTCTACAATCATGTATATATGAAGGTGTTTATTCCAACACTGTATAATTAATAGTCTGCTAATAATCTCAATGCCTGCCACTGGGAAATGAATGAAATCAGTTACAATAAAATTGCTACTATGGGAGAAGGTGAGAACTAAAATTATTTCCAGGATATACCATTAAAACTGTAAATTGCAAAGTCATTGGTAGATATGTAGGTACCGTTGACATGGTATGGAATATCCTGGAAAAATACAGAAAACCCTAGTGACGCCAGTTGCCAACACGGGTATAAAGAGACTCACTTTTCACTGCACACTGTGCTGTGCCTTTTGGAATTTGTACCTACTAAAGTATTTTATTTATTTTTTTAAAAGAGTTGAAAATTACAAATTAATCTAATTAATATTGTGAAAATGCTTTCCTTGCAAATAAGGCAGTTGCATATTTAAATTTATAACAACTTGAAATTAGGCATTGAATTTTTATAGATGTCAAAAATATTGTAGATAATTCGTAAGATAGCAGGACTCTATGATTGAAGCTATGCACACAAAACATTTTAATTGCTTATCAGGATAATTTTAGGAGAACTAATATTTATGTTTTCAAAAGGGTTGAGGAATTTTTCTATTATCTAACAGACATGAGAAAAGAATTATAAGAATTATGTCAAATATTCCATCTCTTACGCTAAGGAGTAAATAGCTTTTTCTGACTTATTTGTTCAACATCAATAGTTGTTTTTAATAATTCAGTACAAAAATATAAAATGTTAAAATCTTGAAGTATACTGTGATTTTAAAATTATTAGTTTTAAATTTCATAATAAAAACTGAAAGGCAGATGCTTTTACCCTTTGCTTTAGAAATTCCCTGAGATGGTCAGACTTAAATATGTTCCAGAATTTCTCATTAAAACCCATTTTTTATATTTTATTCAACACATGTATTGCTAATTGGAATATTTAAAACCTTATGTCTAAATACACAATTTACCAGGGCTCACTCAGTGAGGAGAGAAAACAAGAATTCTCAAGTTCCCTCTCTTTGCTTGATGGACCTAAACAGTGCATGACACTACTGAGAAATGTGTTTTCATGTAGTTACAAAGGGCCAGGTTTTGATCTTCATTGTAAGATGAGAGAACACTAATTGTGTATGTCACAGATTATTTCCCTGTGCCTACAGCAAGCTTAATACTTCCCCACATGCTGGCAAGGGGCTGCCCTCTCCTGCAGGGTACTCCTGCCCTGTTGGACTATGTTCATTCCTCCACCAAAGACTGCACACTATGTCTGCTTTTTTGCAGCCAGTATTTCTGAAGCCAACTTGCTCTCCCTGCAGTCAGGTGAATGTTGTCACCTGCAGAATCTCTACTGCCTAATTGTAAAATGTCTTTCAGAGAACTGGGAGCAAAAATAAAAGTCTAGAAAATGACATAAAATATCCCTTGGCAATACCCTAGAACTAAGCAACTCTGAATTAGCCTATCAGTTCTATAGAAGCAATAATGTTTTTCTCTGTGCACTTCTAAATTCCCAGTTCTTAAAAAAGAAAGCGTTAGAAAATACTAGTCAAATACATTTTATATGTTCAGTTTAGTCTAAATAATGAAGGGTGAGGGATCATAATTTACAATCAAATGTGATTTTAAAATTATTATTATGGACTGGCCTGTCCTTACTTGAATTTGCGCTCTGTAAAGTAGAAAGCTGTGAAGCTGGTGCCATCTAGTGGTGTACAGCATTTGTAAATGGGGAAAAAGAACAGTTGACATTTCGCTGACCCCTTGTTCTCTATATGGAAAAAGAGGACACTACCAACCGGGGCACAATCAGATCATCAAATACACAATAATGACAAGTAATAGTAAGTGTATTGTACCAGGAATACATTTCTCATTAAAAGTATCGTTTCATTAAACTTTAAATAATATTCCATACTTTCATAGGTTATCATTATGCCCTTGTGCTCATTCTTTGCAAAGTCTTCAAATTCTGTTTTGCGACTGAGCACTTGCTTCCGGAGGCTTTGGTGGTGGTCGTGGCTCTACTAAACGGCCTGTTCATCAGTGTCTTTTAGAAGATGAAACTTGTATATGGTATCTTCTCAGGGAGGTTACCGCAGCTCTTTGCTGCAGAGCATGCATGCTCCCACAGGGGGCGCCATCTTTTGTTTTGACGCCACTTGTCTCCAGAAAGGAAAGGGGGCTGGGAACCAAGGCACCCAGATGTGTTAATTAACGGACATAGGGCTCTCTGTGGCTGTACCATGAAGGCTTCTCCTCATGACACAGTGGTCTGTGTTGGTTGGCATGAGAATAAAGTCCTGAGCCCCCTCAGCTGAAAATATAGAGCCCAAATCTCCAAAGATCCCCAGTTTGTTAAGGAGTGAGCATGCTACTAATAAAAATATGAATTACTTCTGTCCAAGAGTTTAGAAGCTCTGGGTCCATCATCACTCCTTCTCAACCTTGATACATTGGTATTCTCTTTGGCGTTTTGTTGCTGTTGTTGTTTTAATAGTCTCACCTGTTTTTAAATTCTTCCCAACACGATTCCTAGGTTAGGTAATTGCATTCTTGTTTAGTTGTACCTTGCCTTTTGAAGTTCTCTTACACTGGGGATCATTCTAGAAGGCTGCAGCCCCAGGATGCTGCCCTAAGTGGTCAGACAGCAGGGGGCTCCCTCTCCTTGTCTCTGGTAGCTCATCTTGGGGCACCCTTTAACTCCATGCCCTTCAGGTTCTGTCCTGAGATCTCAGAGCATTCCTGCCCACAGGAAAAGTCAGGAATTGAAATGATAGTAAATGTTAAGCTGAAAAGCCTCCTTTGAAAAGCTATTTTCAGCCAAGAGTATGTTTGCAGGAGGGAACTGAGGCAATGGGGAGGCTGGAAAACCTTGGGAATCACCTCATTTCTGGTAGAAGAGGTCTCCTAAGACAGGGCCAGTACGTTATAAATTAGAAGTTAGACCAAATCACATCTAATAGTCTTGAAATATGCAAAGGTCTAACAGGTAATTACCATTTGACATTATCAGTACCTATTCCCCTCTATTAATGTAAAGGTTTGAGAGATAATTCTTTTAAATCGCATTAGTTTATACTTCACATCTCCCAGTTAGGAGAAAGGATTGTTTTTCATCCATCCATCCATCCATCTATGTGCTTGTCCAACACATTTTTATTAGGCACCCATAGTGGGCATGGCATATAGTGAATTAAGGTCTGTTCATCCTGGAATTTCTATTCTAATGTCATTCTTGAGGTATATCATAGTAACTTCCATTAAATAGTTCAGTCATATTGCTGAGATAGTCCATGAGAAAGTGGATCTAACAGCATCCCTTTGATGTGTAAGATCAGGTGCTCTTTATCCTCACCAAAAGATCATTCATCCCCATAGGCAGTGCTGTCCTCTGTGTGAGAGAAGTCCGGATGTCTGGAGGCTCATGGCCAAGTGGCAGTGGCAGTGGTGGCACACAATGACTCAGTTTTTGTACTTTGTTTCGTGAGCTTGTAATATCAATAAGCCAGCTGCAGCTGAGGATTTAGTGTGTTCTTTTATGTAAATGACTGTGTAATGTAAAGCTTAATGTCTGTTTCTCTAAATGTCTCCAAAATCTGGTGTTATCTCATTTTTGTAGCCAGTGTTTGGGCACTGATAAGGTAAATGGGTATATAAAGTTGCCCCCCAACTCACACCAAAACCAAAAGCAGAAAAAACCCAAACAAATAAACAAAAAAGAGGGCTTGAATTGTGATTTGGTTTTCCTGTAAACTAAGTAGCAATCACCTAATTGAATTTGGAAGTGGAGGTGGGTCAGTAAAACTCAACTCAGGATGCTCAGAAGAGAAAGTCGTTAGGAATACAAGGAGCAGATTTTCCCAGTTATTTCATGATGCAAATTGATATTAATTAAATATATAATAGAGTAATGGTCAGCAAAGCTGTGCCTTAAATGTGCTTCTCTTACCTGCTGTGGCCAGAAGGATTGCCTTCCTTTAGGTAAGCAAAGCATTCCCCATCACATGGATCTTTGATTGCCATTATCACTAGTAACAGTAGTGGCAGCAGCACAGCCATGGCCAGGTATGGGGCAGCTGCTATCCTCTAACATCAACCCAAATGTTGTTAGATCCACACTCAAGTAAAGACACAGGTGGAAACCCTGGGCTAGTATGGGATTCTCACACATGCTTTGGGGTCCAGAAAGAGATAGGAGCAGCTGGTGGAAATTTAATTTCCCTTTTTAAGTAATTTCCACATACAATAAGATCAGAGACATAGTGTTAAGGGAGGAAAATGAACCCAAGAGGAACATGAAACCCCTGCACATCTGTGGTAGGCCGTGACGGGATGCCAACTGGTGCCTAAGCGGGCTTGGAACTCTGCTTGGACAGGAAGAACAGGTTCATCCACAGCACTCTCTGAGGCCCCAGTGGGCACCTCAAGGACCCAAACTGCTGCTCCAAGAATGAGATAACCTGTTATTTTTTTCTCTTTCTTCCTAATTCTTCCCTTTATCTTCCTTGCCTAAATTACACTGTGATACTTGAAAATAAATTATAATTATTTAGATACACTCTGTACTGCATCAGTGGAGAAAAATGACGTGCTGTCATTCATGTACTTCAGACTCCTCCACCCCCAGGGAGCCGGCCAGAGTCTACGGTGTCTTTCAATCCTTATGAGCCAGAACGAGGAGGGTCCTGGGCTCCGGAGAAAGGTGAGAACACACTTTCACTCACTGCACATTCTCATGGTCATCTCCAAGTCTGTAGAATTGGTGCACAGACGCACCCTACTGTCCGTAATGGACTGCAGTGGGGTTGTTACTCTCCGGTGGCAGGCAGCAGACACCCCGTGTCCATGAATGAGGCAGTCCTGTTGAATGAAATGGTCTTTTACAATAAAGGACCCTTCCAACAAATTGGCAAGGTTGGCAACAGTCAGGTTGCTTCTTCAGAATTTTGCATCTTTAGCAATGTCCCATTTATCCTCAGTTGAATTTCTTTGAAGTTCATGTTCTCAGAAAGCCGTTGGTTTCCACTCATCAGCAAGAGGCACATTTGGCAACTGAAGGAATGGCTGAGCTGCTAGAATTCTCCATGTGTTTAGGGAACTGGACTGACTCTAAAGTGCTCTCATGATGACTTGTTCCCAGAAATGGGGCCTTTGGGGGTCTGCCTTGGGTTCTCTAGGTGTCCCCAAGTTCATTTTTATCCGTGAACTTAGAATCTGCTTATTGCTACAAAGGACCCCCCAAATAGTGGTTTACACCTGTCATGGTATTTCTCATTTAATTAACTCCTGTGTGACAGGGATTTGAACACAGGTCAGGGCCAGTTGTCAGATCACAACTGGAGCCAATGGGGCAGAGGTGAGGCCAGGGGGCCTCTCTCTTCAGCTGGTCCTAGGGCCCTCTGTTTGGTCTCTCTGAGTGGGCTAGTATGGAATTCTCCCAACATGGCAGCCTCTGCCCAGGGCTCCCCAAGATGCCAGCAACAAAGTTTCTGAGGCAGATATTGCATAGTTATCTGTTGTTGCTTCACCCTGGAAGTCACGTACATGCATGGTTCCCAATGTACTCTGTTGGTTGATACAGTTATAAAATCTACTCAGGGAAGGTGACAGAAACCCCACCTTGCAATAGGAGGGGTGTCAGAGAGTTTTCAATCCTAGGTAAAGCCACCTCAGCCCCATGGGAGGGCCCAGTGTACTGTTGCCACCTCTAGATGTCCTTTCCTTGATGCCTCCCAACCCTGCCTCTGACTCTCAGCTGGACCTTAACTGCTCAACATGACCAAGCAGTTATGTGACCACAGGAGGGTTGGAGTGGGAGACAGCCCAGTCTTCACGAAGGACCCAGCCCCAGGGTTGTGTTTCCTGGATGCATTGTAGGCCCCCAGAGAGAGCCCCTGCCCATGGACACCGAAGTGTATGAGAGCCCCTACGCAGACCCAGAAGAGATCAGGCCCAAAGAGGTCTACCTGGACCGAAGCCTGCTGACCCTGGAGGAAAATGAATTGGGCTCTGGGAACTTTGGGACCGTGAAGAAGGGCTACTACCAGATGAAGAAGTAAGTGGGGTGCTCGCTCATGCTGCCCTTAGGCTCATGGGAGCTGTGTTCTAGAAATGTCTGAGAACATGCCTGTAATGTTCATCTAATCCCAGATGCATTTAATCCAACAGGACCAAATCGTGTTTCATTAACATAATTCTTGTTAACTCCTGGTACACTTATAATGAAAGCATCTACTATTATCCTAACTACAGACAAGTATTTTGGTTTTCCTACATCTACCTTATAGAAAATTAGGAAATAGAAACAAATATGTAATAAGAACAACATATTCACACTACCCAAACATAGCTACTCTTAACGAATCTTAGTGTATTTTTTTGTTTCTTTGTAAAGCACTTACGTGCACATATACACTATTTCATTGAAATGAAATCATTCAATAACAGTATGATGTTCATATTTATTTTCTTTGATTACTGTGTTTCATCTTTCTTACAAAGAAAGTTCTTGATTTCAAACCATTAATTTTTTTTGCTTTATGACATAATTTCAAGTAACAATGTGTATTATACAATAGTTAAAATTACTGCATTACCAAAATGTCTTCATGTTTCATCTGGTCTTTCAAAAGCATCCACGTAGAATGTTCAGTAAAAAGGCTGGTTTCTAAATTCCTTTGAGACAATCCTCTCTTTGAATAGGCAGGATACTAATATGAATATGATTGGGTTAATTGTTTCATGGTGTTGAAATTCAGAGAATTTTTGTTAAAAATATTTTACTTAAGTAGATAACTTACTTGATTCAAGGGTCAAAAGTGTTGCTGAGTACCATGGGTGTAGCTTAGTGGTGCAGTGCTTGTCTAGCATTCATGAGGCCCTAGTTTTAAGCCCCAGCACCACAAGAAAGAAAAAGAAAAATATATAGACCAAAGTATACATAAAAACTCTTGCCTCCAGGGCTGTCCCTCTCATATATATACATACACACTACACTGGCTATAATGCTCATTTTTAAGATAGGCATGTATATCACATTTCTGAAAAAAAATTATGACGTATTTAGACATTATTTTCTCAATTCATTGATCATATTCAAATTCCTTGCTTGAATATGTGAGTTAAAATATACATAATTATTAATAGACAATTTTAGCTACAGAGTTTGAGGACAGGACAGGCTATCTAGGTCAATTTGGGCCAAAATAATGTCTTTACTATATTAGGTTTTGGGGTCCATAAACATGGCCTACCCTCCACATACATAGGTCTTCTTTACTGACTCCTAGTTTGTTTTCTGACTTGTTTAGTTTTCTGTGTAGAGGTCTTAAACAGCTTCTGTTAGATACATTCTTTGGTATTTAGCACTTTGGATGTTAGTACGTAGAGTGTCATTTTATTTTTTATTTTTAGTTTTTAGTTTTTGGTACCAGGGATCGAACTCGGGACCTTGTTCTTACAAGGCAGGCAGCAGAACCACATTTTAGTTTTTAATCTCTCACATCACTTGCATGTGGAACTATGACTGATTTTGCATGTGGATCTGATAACCAGCAACAGTGCTGAATTTGTTTGTTATTTATTATAATTTAGGTATTCTCTGAAGTGTGTCATTTGTGAATAATGACAATTTTATTTCATCTTGTCCAATCCTTGTACTTGTGTGTGCTTTTTCTTGCCTTACTGTACAGCTAGGAACTGTAGAGCCATATTTGGTATAAGTGTCAGTAGCCTCATACCTGACAGCAAGGGGAGAACCTCCAATATTTTTCACCATTGGCTATGATGTTAGCTACAGGTTTATAGCTGTTCACTGTCAGACTATAAAAGTGTCTCTTTTTTTGTCTACATTTCTTAGTGGTTTTTAAAGTCATGAATGTATGCTGAATTTGATTGAATACGTGTTCTGATGAGATCACCATATGGTTTTCTCTTGCATGGTGTTTATGTGGTGAATTACACTGATTGGCTTTCAAATGTTAAACACACCTCACATCCCTGGAATAAACTCCCCATCTCCATCATTCATCCATTTTATCCCTTTTATCCTTTTTTATAAATCACTAATCTTAATTTTCTAAGCATTTCTCTTAAAATTTTATACCTGTGTTCATGAATCAGTCAGTTGTTCTCTTGCAATTTTTTTTATCTGAGCTTGGCATTTAGAATAATGCTGGCTTTATAAAATGAATTGGTAAATTTTCTTCCTCTCCTGTTTTTCTGGAAGAATTTGTGGCATTATTTCTTCCTAAAATATTTGGAAAAGTCAAGTAGTTTTGATCCTTAATATTGACCTCTGCCGCCCATGGTACACAAAATCAGTTTCAGATGGATGGAAGACCCAGATGTGAAAAGCAAAAGAGCTAGTTGTCTGGCAGTGGTATTGAGGGGTGCACCGTGTCCTTGGGGAAGATGCAAGGCTGGGGATGTTCTGAGCCTGTCTGTGTAACAGCTACAGTTAGTAACATCTATCAAAGTCATGTGTGCTTTTCTGTATGTGTGTGCGCCTTATTCTGTTATTCTTTGATTTGGCTTATTTGTTTTATTCCAATTGGGGAGTTCAACAAAAGAGGTATGCTTTCCATGCTTGTGGAAATTGTGTGATAGAGAGGTGCAGTTTTTCAAATCATGCATGGTTAAGTTCTGTTCTTTCACTTAAACTTCACTTTATCAGAATATTTTCAAAGTGACATATTTATGAAAAATCTAATTTTTTACAAACTTGCTGAGGCTTGCTTAAAGTTAACAAAGTTCAGTAGGGAGCTTTATGAGCTCCATGAGCTTTAACAGTGTATACTTTTAATTCCACACCCATAAATTCATTTTTAGTTCTTATTAAAGGAATGTTATATTCCTATGCTTACACATAACCTAGATGGTAAACCACAAAATACCGCAGGAATCCGTGCATTTTACAGTGTATGGGTTTAGCTTGGTATGAGGGATTCTTCAGCACTGGTCCTACCATCATTTATAAGTAGTGGGTGTATTTTCTTGTAACCTAAGAAAGGGTGGTTGGAGACTGGTCATTTATTTCGTGGCTTCCTAAGATGCATCTCCATGTCCATGCGTGATAGATATTTCCACAACAACATTTCTGTACAGCAATTATATTTCACAAGAAATATTTTTCTAGGGGTTAGCCTTTTTCTTTTGCAGAGGCTTGAAAACAGTAGCTGTAAAAATATTGAAGAACGAGGCCAATGACCCAGCTCTGAAGGAGGAATTATTAGCAGAAGCGAACGTCATGCAGCAGCTAGACAACCCCTACATAGTGCGCATGATCGGGATCTGTGAAGCTGAGTCCTGGATGTTGGTTATGGAGATGGCTGAGCTTGGTTCACTCAACAAGTATTTACAGCAGAACAGGTATCATCAAGTGCCCAGAGGGCACAGAAGCTGTGCTGTGAGGGACAGGGCCACCTTCCGACCGCACAGCAGCCTAATTTCTATGAGAAACCTGTAACCTTTTGTACTTGACCACTTCACTCCATACTCGAGGAGCAGGAGAGAGAAATGAAAGGAGCAGAGCAGCTCTTGTTGCTTTGAAAAAAATCTCTAACCCAATAATTTTATCTTCATTCTTCTCCTAGGCTTACTCTGTTGCTCCCGTGATGGGATCAGCCTCAGATTACCTGCCCAGAGCACCTGCTTGCACTAAGCAGTCCTTGCTTTCTTTGAATAAACATTTAAAGCCAACATTTTTGGGGGGATCATGATTGTGTCTTCCATTGTCTGGCTGACCTCAGAGTTCTCATGAGTAATTACTTCTGGAAATGTCAAGCGCTGTTAACTGATGACATCTATGAATGGGATGATCTCACTGTACTCATCTAAAGCTATTGTGTGTTTTTCTCTTTAATTTTTTTGTTTTATGAAAAACTGAAAATTGCGCACTCAAATAATAAGAGAGTAGGAATAGGTTTCACACTGTGTATCGGTATCTTCACAGTGGTTACTCAGAGTATAAGGCATAAACCAGAAAGATTTGTATAAAAAAGAAACATGATAACACGAATTGTTGAGATGGAAAAACTGACTTGAAATGAAACATCAGTGATCAGCTCACCCCATTAGCTACCTTATGTTTGTTCTTTACTTAGATTGTTGCTTTAGTCTCCATGGAAGGGAGGCATTGCTACCCCTCCTTCACAAGTAAAAAGCAGACTCAGCATTGTCTACACTACCAGTTCAATATTAGAACAAAGATTCAGGGTTGGCAACTCCTTTCTACTGGCTTTCATGCAATTCAAAGCATACATTGAAAACAAAACCTGTTGAACACCAGGAGGTTGGTGTTTAGTCTGGACCAGCTGTAGGTTAACAGGTGGTTTGTCACCATTCATGACTCTAGTTGTTTAAGAACAGGGAAGGAGCCAATTCCAGGTGCATGAAGCGCCTTGTTCCTTCTGAAATGTACCACTGTCTACTGTGACTAATGACACCCTTGTGGCTTTCAGGCATGTCAAAGATAAGAACATCATAGAGTTGGTTCACCAGGTTTCCATGGGAATGAAATATCTGGAGGAGTGTAATTTTGTGCACAGAGATCTGGCTGCAAGAAACGTATTGTTGGTCACACAACATTATGCCAAGATCAGCGATTTCGGGCTTTCCAAAGCGCTTGGTGCTGATGAAAACTACTACAAGGTAGGAACAACTCAGGTAATGCTCAGAGCACCAAGTTGTGAAAGCGTGAAAAAAGATGTATATTCTCTTTATTTTATTATGGTAATATAAAAAGCAATTTTACTAGTAGCGTACACCAAAAAAAGCCCTATTAAGCTTTGTCTGTGCAGCAGGGGCTGGAATTGGCAATGGAGACACACTAACTTTTCAGCCTATCTATCGAGTGTTAAAAGTTTGCCTTCTTATCAGTTTAAAATTCAAAATAAGCTTGAATTGGCATACATGTTTATATGGTTCCCAGCATTTGAAATAAAAGTGTAAAGATAATGGGTCACATGACTGAAACTGAAGTAGTCAACTATCATTTTGAGAAGTAATGTAAAGGTGCCCTCCCATCTCCAGGGTGATATCCCTGGATTGCCGCTTCTGACCCACAGCAGCGAAGTGAAATCAATTTTCAATGGAATCGGGCCCCAGAGGACGTCACCTAGACTGAAGGGTGACATCTGCAAGGGCAGCAAGGCTAAACGGGGCAGCACTCTGAATCTCCGACTCCAAAGGAAGGGGTTTCACTATGTACTATGTATTGATCTTTTTATTAGCCCTGCATTTCTTAAATTAGGAATTTAGAAATTTAAAGACATCTAATATTATTTTTAAATGATACAAGAAAATAGTCTTTGCTAAAATAAATAGCATTGGCCTAAAACTGTAGACAAATATTCAGTAGTAATTAAATGTGCTTGTGAACAGTTTGGGGATTTCCTGCACATAACCAGGACAGAAAACCCAGTCTTGACTCTTCCACAGCACCTTCTGCTCCGGGAAGCTGTGAGCAGCCGCAGTAAGAGCAGAGGAAACAGCTGAAGAATGCAAGCAGTTCATCTTGAATCTTAAAAGTGCATATTAAACACTAAAATTAGTGTCTAAAACTTGAAAATTAAATAGCATTTTTAACATTCATTCCAAACACACACACACACACATACACACAACATTTTCTGGGTCATGATCTTATACTTTTTAAAAATTGTGGTAAAATACACATAACATAAAATTCATCACCATCATCTTTAAACATGGTTTTGTAGTGTTAAGGATGCTCACACTGCCCTACAGCCTGACTGCAGCGTGCTTCGCAGCTCGGGAAGCCAAAACTCTCTCCATTTAAACTTGGCGTCCGTTCCGTTCCCGTTCCCGCCCCTCTCCCCAGCAGGCCGCTGGTGGCCACTGCTCCCTTTCTGCTCATTAGCACAGCTGCTCTACGCAGCTCATCTGAGTGGGGTCACACAGTGCTGGCCCTTGGTGACTGGCCCCCTGCAGGTAGCATAAAGCCCCCAAGCTTCCTCCCTGTCGGAGTGTGCACCCACTGGCCTCTCCTTCCTTCCCGCTGTCTACGTAGACACACTTTGTCGGTCCGGTGCACTCATCTGCTGATGGCCACTTGGGCTTTCCCCGTGTTTCGGCTACTGGGGTGAAACTGCTATGATTGAGCATGAGTGCACAGACCTGGCATCACCTGGTCACCTGTCTGCTTTACCCTCAGGCCCAGACTCACGGGAAGTGGCCCGTGAAGTGGTACGCCCCGGAGTGCATCAACTACTACCGCTTCTCCAGCAAGAGCGATGTCTGGAGCTTCGGCGTGCTGATGTGGGAAGCATTCTCCTACGGCCAGAAGCCCTATCGAGTGAGCCCTTCTTCTTTCTCCTCCTCCTCCTCCTCTTCCTCTCCTCCTCCTTCTCCTCCTCCCTCCCCTCCCCTCCCCCTCCTCT